ACTCCCCTTTACTGGCTCCATCCCCGCCTCTTCGACCTGTTTGTTTCATCTCCACCTATCCTCTCCTCTATCCCTCTTCTATCCGCCTCCCACTCTCTCCCTATTTATTTCGGAACCCCCTTCCCCTCCCCCTTTTCTGATGAAGGGTCTAGGCCCGAAACGTCAGCCTCCCTGCTCCTATGATGCTGCTTGGCATGCTGTGTTCATCCAGCCCTGCACCTTGTTGTCTGTGGTGGACTTGCAAATTGCTTTCAAGAAGCAGGTTGGTATTTTAAATGTGTTAATGAGTTTGAACACTTCAGATTTAGCCTGCTTTGTAGGTCAAGAAATCCTGCCATCCAAAAATTTCTGTGCCAGGAATTGGAGCCTGTGTCTGGGAGTCAGAAACAATCTCCCTATTCCCCCAGCAACCAGTAATCAGCTTTCCATCACCAGGGATAGGAATGAATACTTTAAACCAAGGTGGTGCTGTCAAATCAGAACATTTCCTGTCACAAGCTACCGACTTCACTGCAAAAATCCAGCATTTTAAAGTTTCCTAGCTGCTCCTGGAGCTATCTGCAGGCCATTCCTATTGTCCGACCTGTAACTCCGTCTGATCGTGAGGTTAACTCTGGATATAGAACCTGAGGTATAAGCTGCACACTGTCAACTTTTAACTCTGTAGAATAACCTGGACCTTCAGATTTTTCATGCGTACGTTTCCATCAACTCTAGACCCTCACCACCACCCTGCTCTCGACACATGTAAAAGCCTCCTATATATTTCTAGCCCATCAAAAAATGAATCAGTATTCGATGTGGTTCTGGTAAATAAAATAGGGTAAGCTGATTCTGGTACAAAAATAGATCGTGTAATCAACAATAATCACAGCATAATTCAGTTCAAAATATTTCATCGAATCATAGAATCATACAGCATGGAAACAGACCCTTCGGTCCAACTTGTCCATGCCAACCAAGATTCTCAAAATAAACTAGTCCTATTTGCCTGTGTTTGGCCCACATCCCTCTAAACCTTTACTGTTCATGTACTTATCCAAATGTCTTTTACATGTTGTAACTGTACCTGCGCCTGCAACCCTCTGGCAGTTCATTCCACATACAAACCACCCTATGTGCGAAAAGTTTGCCTCCTCAGGTTCCTTTTAAATCTTTCTCCTCTCAGCTTAAAAGTATGACCACACGTTTTGAACTCCCCCATCCAAGGGAAAAGACTTTTGGTATCCACTTTATCTATGCCCCTCATAGTTTTTAAAAAACATGATTTTATATTTGTGAAAACAAACCAGAAAATGAAGTGAATTTGGAGAGCAGAGAAAGTTAATGTGCCTGGATGATAAGGGAAATAAAAACAAAAAGTGGGTTTATACAAATGCCTAGGAGTATGATCCTTTGAATCAGCAGTACAATTACAGAAAGTACAAGAAGAACTTTACAAAGTTAATATTGGTAATAAAAGTTGGCATTACGGACAATATTACATTGAAAACTCCAGAATGTTTGAAGTATTTGTGGAAAGTAATACATTTGTTCAGAAGTACATTGATGTTCAATAGGCAGACAGTGCTGTAAGCAGCTAGAAGACATAACACAGTATGGAGCTGGAGGAACACAGCAGGCCAGACAGCATCAGAGGAGCAGGGAAGTTGACATTTCAGGTTGGGACCCTTCTTCAGTAGCTACCTGTGTTGACCTTTGTGACATTCTTCCTTTATATCATCAAAGAAACCCTTTTTGGCTGTGCTGTTAGTAACCTATAGTCCTGGATACCAACCCAACCAGCTGGAGGAATCAAACCAGGCTTGGTTTGATTGATAAATTGTCCCCTCTCTATAGGTTCTGGGAGAGTTCCTCAGATGGGGAAATATTGTGGTGAGTTGGCCCTAGTAGGCTACTTAGCTCCTTTCATCACTTCACTAATTAAGTTATAGGTGTGAAAAATTACCACCAAATAAGGCCCTTGCGTGGCCAACTAATTGTCAGTTTAAAGCCTCAACATAGCACCTCACCCAATTACCTACCTTTCTGGCAGGTAGGAAAGATGAGTGTTTTCCCAACTGGGAAACCAGGGTGAACGACCAGCCAGCTAAAGGAGCATAGCCCCCAAGTGCCCCAACCTATGCAAGGTATGGAAGGGATGTGGTTGGAAAGGCAGCTGCTAAAAGTTACTCCCTCCCCTTGCCTCCAACCTCCCTGACTTCACTCTTCCTACAACCTCCCCCTCTCCCCCACCACTACCCCCTCCCCATTTCAGGACATAATGACTTACCCCCTGGCAGGTGAATTCTCCAAGGAGTAGGCCTCAATCAGTGGTCTTTAGGACCTAGATGTTGCTGACCTCTGATTTTATTTTGAACAGCTTCAACTGACCCAGAATGGCAGTGTTGAAGCCTACAAAAGGCTGAGAAACCCACGCACATTCATTTTTAATGAGCTGTTTGGCACGTTGTGGGCGTTGTTTTTGCAGCAGTGGTGTGTTTGTCTTCACTAAACACATCGACCTCCACACTTGCAGAAAAATGGGAAAATCACATCTATGAATTCAGGAATATTGGAGGGTGTTATCTTTTTGATGTTCTATCAATTGCTGCCATGTTTCCTTATAAATCAATAACTACACGTTAGAAGTGATTACTTAGGTGGGAAGAATTTTGACATATCTTAAGGCATTGGTGAGGCAAATTTTAAAGGTAATGGATTTCTTTTTAACTGGCTTTTTCTCATTGAAGATTAGAATCTCACTCAGGATAATTTTAACATCTAATCACTTGCCAAAGCAGTGCCCAATTTTGTCCGCAATGGTAGTCGGCCCAATGTAGAGGTGAGTTGATCCAATTGTGTGACATAATTCTTTGAAATTTGTGTCACAGATAGATAGGGTGATTAAGAGTGTAACAACAACAGTTCTGAGGAAGGGTCACCGGACCCGAAACGTTAACTCTGATTTTCTCTTCACAGACGCTGCCAGACCTGCTGAGCTTTTCCAGCAACTTCTGTTTTTGTTCCTGATTTACAGCATCTGCAGTTCGTTTGGTTTTTATTTGGTGATTAAGAATACATTTAGCATGTTTGCTGTTATTACTCAAACCTTTGACTATAGAAGTTGAGAGGTCATGTTGAGGTTGTACAGAGTATTAGTGAGGCCTCTTCTGGAGTATTGGGTCCAGTTCTGATCACCCTGCTATAGGAAGGATATTATTAAATTGGAGAGGGTTCAGAAAATATTTACCAGGATGTTGTCAGGAATGGAGGTTTGTGATATAAAAACAGGCTGGATAGGCTGGGACTTTTCCCACTGGAGCGTAGGAGGTTGAGGGGTGACCTTATAGAAGTTTATAAAGTCATGAGGGACATATATAAGGTGAATAGCAAATGTCTTTTCCCTAAGGTGAGGGAGTTCAAAACTAGGGGGCATATTTTCAAGGTGAGAGGAGAAAGATCTTAAAAGGAAATGAGCAGCAACTTTTTTACACAGAGAGTGGTTAGTGTGTAGAATGAACTTCCAGAGGAAGTAGTGAATGCAGGTACAGTTACAACATTTAAAAGACATTTGGATAAGTACACAAATAGGAAAGGATTGGAGGGACATGGGCCAAATGCAGGCAGATGGGACTAGTTTAGTTTGAGAACATGGTTGGCATGAATAGGTTGGACCGAAGAGTCTGCTTCCATGCTGCATGACTATGACTCTATAACAACATCAACAGAAGTTCAAATTGCCTCGCTATGACTGGGAATTCAGATCCAAGTGAATAGCCACCATTCAGTACCACAATATTGTGCTATTTCCTTAATTCATAATCAAAGGCACCCTCAAACTTGCCATTCATAACGGTATTATAATATACCATACAAATTTAATTTTACACTCACTTACCCATATATTTTGAGCTTGGACTTGATGGTTCTGTTTTGAAGTCGAAAGGTATCAGAACATCATATGTTTCAAGCCTGAAAAATGTAATTTGCATTTTCACAGCAAAATTTTAACAATGCTTGCTGAAGAATAAACACATCCTTAAATACAAAGGAGAGCATGATCTGACTGCAGATTAAAGATATTAGCCTGTGTAATATTATACATTCATCAGTATTATGTCTCCTGTATTATTTTTAACAATAAAGAAGAAAAGATTAAAATATGTTTTTTACGTTCCGCTTTTCAGATTTACAATGACATATTTTCAGGCTGCACAGTCACCATGGCAGAGTCTTTACAGCTTTAGTTGCTGTTCATTTAAATTTACCAACCAGTTTGATTCACCTTAATATTCCAAATAGGATCTGGGTAGTGCTCTATATAATTGCAGTAATGTTTCTTCACTTTTATGTTCCTGTGATAAAATTCAGCATCTCATCAGCATTTATGGTCACATGCTTGCATCTGTGAACTAGCTTTTAATGATTTATATATTGAGATGCTAAAAGTTCCTTTATTCATCTCCCCTATCCCTCAGTGTTTCTATCTTTTAGAATTTTCTCCAATTTACGCCCAAGTCTACCACCTTAGAACCAAACAATCAACAAAAGAGAGGTTGTCAATAAATTTGCTCAGGAAGCACAAAGCTAATTGAATTGCTAAGCTTTCTTCCCCCCGCTCTGTATCTTCTTCTGTTTGAAACATTTATCTAATTTCCCTTCATTGTTTGATTTTACAAACTGCAGCTACAATAATTTCACATTTTAGGTTAATCTAGACTATTTTTCCACTCTCCCGCCCCTCCATTCATTGCAATTTCGAGATTAATAAACAATTCAAGAATTTTCTCTGGCACTCCTGGGGACTTCAGAAAGCCCCAGCCTGTTGTATTTGTTCTTGAGGCTCTCCTCAGCCAGTTTCTCCCATTGCACTAGGCCCGACCAGCAACCTATCTCCATGTGGGAGCTGGGTGAATTTCCGTCCTCCCAGAACTGATGAGCTGCTGCAGGGCATACATTTGGTGCCCTTGGTTCACAGGGTAATGAGATCTACATCTCCTGAGAACTTACATCTCACACTGCTCCAAGCAGACAGGCAGAAAGGTCAGTCCGTTGGCATCACACCAATTTTGAGCACTACTTGAAAGTTGCATCACTGCTATAAGGTTCACAACTTTCATCTGTTGTTAGTGAATGCTACTAATTTAACAAGGATATTGAAAACATAGCAAAACCTACTGATTACTCAAATCACAACTGTACAATTCTGCTGGGACTGGAAGAATCATATCTATGGAAACCTGCACTCATCTTCTCACAGACATTTGCATGAAAAGATATGATTAATAATAGACTTTAAGAAACAGGGTGCAGAAAGATGGGGGATTCCAAAGGGACAGTATACAAGGAAATTTTGGACGTACTCCCTCCAATTTCTGATTTTTAACTTGTGTCCTCTTTCGTTGGCTGGGATTCTATAGAAAGTAACAGAGCAAGAAAACTCACTCTCCCCTCAAAGAACAAGCTGCATAGAGCATTGAGTTCTAGCAAAACTTTAATTTTCTTGATGCCCAATTGATTGCAACTTAATTTGGTGAAGATTCCCAATGTCAGGCTGCAGTGCTACCATCACGTTCTCCAAGCAGCCTATCACAATAAAGAATTATCACGGACAGCAAACCAGGAAAGCAAGAGCACTTAGAATCGAATTATGCCTTAAAAGTTTACAGAAAGCAAAATATTTATTGGGTGTTAAGTAGAAACTGAAATGTCTACTAAAATTATTTCAAACATCATTTTAAAAAATCTTGCAATTGGAAAAATAGAAATATGGAAAATGCACAGCACAGAAGTCATTCTGCCCATCATGTCTGTGCCAGCACTAATTATAATAGAAAGATCTAACAAATACCATAAATATACATTACCTTTCAAGGGCCTGGTTGATTGTACAGATGTAGCTATGATACAAGTTGTGGTTAAAAGCCCAATTAAATTTCCTTGAACAAGTCTTAATTTTTTTTAACAAGCTTTCTACGTGATTAGAAAAAGGTCTTTGCATGATGAATGCTTTTCACAGATTGTTATCTCTGGGAGGGTGTCCACAGCACAGCCTGTGATGCTGTAATAAGTGACAGACTGCAACTTCAATATTTCTACATTAATCCGTGCTGCTCTAATTTCTGAGGTTATGGGTGGATTCAGAGGGGTAATATGAGAATTTGCCGTCAGGAGTCCTGCAAATTGTAGTAACTGGCACTAAATCATCAGTCAATAGTGCCTCTTGTTTGATGCTGTTTTTATTTAGAATCTTTGATATTCAGAAAACAGGTTAGACTTACAAAAAAACACAGTTGGTTTAAATGTCAGACATTGTGTATCCAGTTTAAATTACCTGCCAGGTGCCAGTTTAACAGTTTGACTCTTCGTAATAAATACCTAAGGGTCTATTATAAGAAATTGCCCTCCCATCAGGGAGGCTTGCCCACATGGAGTACAAAAGAGGAAAATTAATGGATAGAAAACTATGGGGAATACATTTATGATATGCACTCCCAGAATAAAGGGCTCCTCATCAATATTGTGGATTGGAAAATGAGTCCTCTATAACAAACATAGAAACCTCCATGAATTATGTGGTCCATTATTTTAATAAAATTGAGACACCATCAAGTTGTTGCTCATGCAATCATCCTCATTAGCAATGGATCCTACAGATAAATATGAAAAATAAATGTCAGGAATATACACAGTAAACCTGTGAAACCTTTAGCTGTATTCTTTATATATAGCTTTATATAAAGAGCATGTGCTCAAAAGAGGTTGAGGTCTGTTTTACACAGGCAGGTACAGGATGTTCTGCTATGACATGAGAGTTGCTTTCCTTTGCTATAGAAATAATGGGGCCTATGGGAAAAGCGGGGTTAGCAGCAGACCACCAAAAAATATCACTCAAAATCGCTCAAAAATCACTCAAAAGCCAAACATAAAGGATAGCATAGTTTGAATAAATGTTTAATTCATATCTATTAATGAAATGAAAATAAATTTAACACCTTATCTTGAAAGAATGTCAAGATGACTTGATGGGGGAGGAGGTTATGAGGTTGGTCTGTTGTTAATGTAGGGGCTGAGAGTCATCATCATCATCATCATCATGATCATCATCATCATCATCATCATCACCGCCTTCAGGTGCAGCTGTGGTTGCAGGGTTGGGGCAAAAAATAGTTAAACCAGAAGTGGACGGCTGTGATTCATTGTCTTCTGACTGTTTCTTGGGGGTTGGCTTAAAAAAAACACGTCCAGTTTTTGCTGCTTTGCCCTTTTTCTTCTTTCATGAAGAAGTTGTTCATAGGGTGCCAAATAAGATCTTATTCCACAAACTGCTACCCTGCTGCATTCTGCATTGTAATCGTTGTCCTCTGAGAGCTGCAACTGCTTCTCAATTTCCCTCAGGATAGATGAAAAAAACAGAAGTGGAAAACTCTCATGGTGCTGCATCCTGGATTACTACTTCATCTCCAGCTTCCACTTCCCCCTCAGTGACAAGTTATTGTAGATCAGCTGTAGAGAGAAGTCTTCACAGTGGGACTCAAGCAGCTCTTCAACATCCTCACTCTTCACTTCTTCAAATCCAACTTGCTTTGCAAGATCAACACAATGTTCTTTGATTCTTGGGAGCTCCTCTGAAAAAAATCTGGCGAAGGTTCTGCCAAACTGCGTGCAAACATTCCTTACTGACATCACCCCAGGTCTCCATGACAATGGCAACTGCATTCTTGATGTTAAAGCTCTTCCAAACTTGAAGAACACTGTCCTTATCCCCCTCAGGGGCTGCAATCAGCTTCTTAAATGTACACCTTAAATAATAAGCTTTAAAAGCTGCTATCGCGCCCTGGTCCATGGGTTGAAAGAAAGAGGTTGGAATCGATTGAATCACATTATAGCCAACACAAGTTCGCATTTTAGAAATAACGTTCTCCTATTAATCAGTCACGTTATAGCCAATTTGTATTGCCAGAACATGCATTATAGCAGAACCCCCTGTATTCCAATCAGCATTAACAGGAACAATACGTGATCCATAACTCATTCTATGTTTAGGACTAATGTAATTACTTCATTACATCTATCATAATAACCACTTTTAGTGGGGAGTGGTATTTTTGCAACAACAACGTGATACAATAAAGATACTGTATGATGATGGACGACTTGGTGTTGGAGGGGAAAAGAGGTTCAGTTGCATGTAACAGCACTTCTGGATATGTAAAAAAATGACAAAACAATAAAGATACTATATGGAAATTGAGTCCAGACTGTTCTGCTGTTTGTTCCAAATGAGTGTCATGAGTAAGTTACCATTAGATACAGCAGATGTTAGAGCTGATTTCCTTCTTCACTGTGTTTTCCATTGATACCCAGAATAAAAATACTATTATTATTATAATTTCTAAAATCAGAAAGGCCTTGCAGTTGCTGTGCCCCAAACTGTCTGTAGGTGCACTAGTGTGTATAATTATATCTGGTATTGAGGATTATGACAGGTGTCATATCCTTCCTTCAGGGCTGGCATTTTGGTAAGCGTTAAGTGAAGTGAAACACGGAGACAATTATAATTTCTGCAGATATAATTTCAGAATTTTTCTGATGACAGGTACATTGAAATTCCAACCTGAGAGCTCTGTCTTTCCTTTCTCAATGCATGTAGCTGAGACTAGGCACACAATTCAAAGCTCATGTCCACACACAGAAACAGCGAAAACAGGAACAGGAGTAGACCATTCAGTCTTCTGAGCTTGCAGCACCAATCAATATGATCATCACGAATCCATCCAACTCAGCACTCTTTTCCCACATCCCACATACCCTTTGATCCCTCTAGCCCTAAGAACTATATTTGTCCCATTCTTGAGAATATTCATTGTTTTGGCCTCAAACCCTTTATGTGGCAGAGAATTCCACAGACTTGCAACTCTCTGGGTAAAGAAATTTCTGCTCATCTTACTCTTAAATGGCCTACCCCTATA